AGAGGTAAAAGTATTTGAAAGGATTCATGGGGCTTCACGAGGTATACTCATTTTAGGCTTTAAATAAGGTCAAGGTGAAATATAACAGGAACAAGAAATAGAACAGGTAAACACAGAAAGATGCAAAAAAATTCAGGCACAACTCCTAGGACCTTTTCTCAATTGTGCAGAATGAAATTTATCTTTGTAGTGAACCACTAAAAATGTGGAAAGATACCTTTGTTTCACCTAAGCCAACACACAAGATTAATGAGAGTTTTTTTTTTTAATCTTATTGGTTACATAACAAAAACTGGGACCTTCATAATATGTGTGGGCCTTACCCAATCAGTTGAAGGCTTGTATAGAACAAAAACTGACCTTCATGGACCATTCTGCCATTTGCTGAGTATATCTATTCCAATTATGCATTCTGTAATTGGGGAAATAACCACAGGATGATTTTGGAGACCCACTGATCACCTGACCTACAAAGTCCCTACAATGACTGTAAGGACTTCATCAAAGTAAGAAATATGTATATTTATTTTCAAAAAGAGTGAACTTGGTGATGAGCATTGGATATTGTATGGAAGTGTTGCATCAATATATTGTACACTTGAAACTAATATTATGCTGCATGTTAACTAACTGGAATTTAAATTAAAAAATATGGAATAAAAAGAATATTGAAGAATACTGAAGGTAACATGAAAGAATATCTTCACATGTTACTGAGTTCAACAAAAATTTCTTCAATAGGACACAAAGAGCAATAACTTTAATGTAAAATATTAATAAATTTGATTTCATTGAGCATGAAAACTTGTATTCTTCAAAAAATACCATGTAAAGAGCGGAAAGTCAATTCATGTAGAGTGGGAGCAGATATTTGCAGGATATATATCTGAGAAAGGATTTATACACAGACTATAAAAAGAATATTTACAACTTCCTAAGGAAAAGATTATACAGTTCTAAGGAAATGGGCACAGACTTTAAATTAAATGGTGTTCCACTAAAGAGAACATCCAAATGGTCAATAGCTATAGTTTTTACAACATCATTAGTGGTAAGGTAATGTATTTAAAGCCACATCACAATAACACTACATGATGCTAACAAATAATGGCAACAAATAAACATAAACATACATACCCACCTGTCACCAACACACATACAAAACCAATAGTGCTGATGAGGATGTACAGCAATTGGCTTCTATGTAACTGGTGAAAATGTAAAATTATACATATAATTTCAGAGAACTGTTGGAGCTTTCTAATAAAGATAAAAATGTATCCTCCCAATCACTCAGCAATCATACAAAGGAATTATTACTGATGGCAAATGTCTCCCAAACAACATGTAGAGAAATGATAATAACAACTTTATTGAAAATAGTAAAAAATGAGATAAAACTCCAATGTCATCCACAATTAATAATTAAATTTTGTACATTTATAAAGTGGAATACTATGCAACAACAAAAAGTAACAAGCTACAGTTAAATTCATTCACATGAATTAATTTCGCAGACATAATTTTGAGTGAAGTAGGCCATCACAAAAGATATATATCACATGATTTAATTAATATTAATGTCAATTAATAACAAAGTCATAGACTATGCAATCTATAGTACTAGATATAAAAAATGATGAACTCTGAAAGTTTTTCACTGGTAGGGGCACAAAGTCTTCTTCTGGGTTGTTGGTATGCCAAGTATTTTCATCTGAGCAGTAGTTACATAGGTTCTGGGCTGCTCACAAAGTGTGCAGGCACTCAGCAAATACTTTCTATGGGGCCTCTGACCACATACACAATTTGAATCACTCTAAATCAGCATGCCAGCACTGTTATGGTAGATTGGCCTTTAGCAATCCCATGAAATAAATACTGTACCACCCAGCAGAGCAATCTGCTCTCCTGGCCGCCACCCTAGAATAGGGACCATTCAAAAGGCCTTGGGAAACTATAAGCATTACTCCTGGAGCTCTTTGGGCATCTGTACAACACTATTAATGCAGAATATTGGGTTAGGAAGCATCCCAAAAGGGAGTGTCCTAAAGTGGAGAAACAGGAAGGCACTCAAGAGGGGTACTTTGAGCTTGGGGAAGGGCAGCTAGTTCTAGCCACTGGAAAGGGACTTAGAAACTTTCAAGAATGGTATTCTTTGCATAGTTTGTGTATTCATAAAAAGCCATCAAGTGGTATGTGTAAGATTCTTTCATTTTACTATGTGTATGTTGTTCTTGATAATTTTTGTTAATATCTTTTAAACTTTGTATTGAGATATAATTGACATATAAATTTTATTAGTTTCAGGTGAGCAACATAATGCTTTGATATTTGAGTATATTGTGAAATGATCCCACAATAAGTTTATTTATTTATTTTTTTTTTATTTTTTTTTTTTTTAAAGATTTTATTTATTTATTTGACAGAGAGAGACACAGTGAGAGAGGGAACACAAGCAGGGGGAGTAGGAGAGGGAGAAGCAGGCTTCCCACAGAGCAGGGAGCCCGATGTGAGGCTCGATCCCAGGACCCTGGGATCATGACCTGAGCCGAAGGCAGACGCTTAACAACTGAGCCACCCAGGCGCCCCTCCCACAATAAGTTTAGTTCATCATGTGGTTATACTTTTTTCTTGTGATAGGAACTTTTAAGATCTACTCTTTTAGTTTATATATATATATATATATATAATACAATTTTATTAACTAAAGTCCCTATGCTGTACATTACATCCCCATAATGCATTTATTTATTTATTTACTTATTTTAAATATTTTATTTTATTTATTTGAGAGAGAGAGCACAAGAAGGGGTAGAGTCAGAGGGAGAAACAGACTCCCCACTGAGCAGGGAACCTGATGCGGCACTCGATCCCAGGACTCTGGGATCATGACCTGAGCTGAAGGCAGTTGCTTAACCAACTGAGCCACCCAGGCACCTGACATATTTATTTTATAACTGGAAATTTGTACTTTTTGGCCCCCTTCTCCCATTTAATTCACTCACCCACCTCTGGCATCCAACAGTCTGTTCTCTATATCTATGAGTTCTTTTTGTTTTGTTGTTTGTTTGTTTTTTAGATTCTACATATAAGTGAGATCATACAGTATTTCTCTTTCTCTCTTTAACTTATTTCACTCAGCATGATGCTGTCAAGGTCCATCTGTATTGCCACAAAAGACAAGATTTTCTTCTTTTTGTGGCTAAATAGTATTCCAGTGAGTGTGTGTGTGCGTGTGTGTGTGTGTGTGTGTGTGTGTGTGTACCACATTTTCTTTATCCACTCACTGATGGATGAACACATAGGTTGCTACATATCTTAGCTATTGTCAGTAATGTTGCAATGAAAATGGGGAGGCAGATATCTTTTCCAGTTAGCATTTTCCTTTCCTTGAGATAAATATCAAGAAGTGGGATTTCTGGATCACATGGTAGTTCTGCTTTTAATTTCTCAAGGAAACTCCATACTATTCTCATAGAGGCTGCACCAAGTTACATGCTCACCAACAGAGCAAAAGGGTTCCCTTTTCTCCATATCTTCACCATCACTTGTTATTTCTTTTTTTTTTTTTGATAATAGTCGTTCTAACAAGTGTGAGGTGATATCTCGCTGTAGTTTTATTTTTTTAGATTTCATTTATTTATTTGAGAGAGAGAGAGCATGAGCATGAAAGGGGTAGAAGGAGAGAATCCCCAAGCAGACTCCCTGCTGAGAATGGAGCCTGACATGTGGCTTGATCCCATGACCCATGAGATTGTGACCTGAGACCAAGAGAGTCAGAAACTCAACCAATTGAGCCACCCAAGCACCCCAAATTCACTGTAGTTTTGATGTGCATTTCCCTGATGATTAGTTATGCTAAGCAAATTTTCATGTACCTGGTGGCCATGTCTATGTCTTCTTTGAAGATAAATTTTTTTAAAGTAAAAAATTATTAAGCACCTGCTATATGAGTAGCAAGACACCATGAAGTAAACATTGGCCAAATACATATCATTGATCAAAAACTATGAAATGTAGATAGGATATTCAGGTTCATCTGATAAGCCACAAGGAAGAAGTGCAAATTAAAAAGTGCTGGACAAGGTACTTAATAAATAAAGAATGAATGAATAACTAAAGTTTGTGAATCCAAGAGTAATTACTATCTATGGCATTAAATTTGACTTTTGAGAATGTAATTGACATGGTTAGGAATTCACCCATTTAGAGATGTTCATTCCTGAACATATTAAATTCCTTATCATACTGATGCTTCTATGAAGTCCCCCTTTACCAATAGAGATAGGGATAGAGATATAAATATATTTATATTTCTATAAGTTTTGCAGTATTGCAGATACATACATCTAAAGACCGACTGGTTAACTTTGAACAGTAAGATACTTATGGGAGATCTGCATAGATGTGATGAGCCTGGGAAGATTCCACACAGAGTCAGTCATGGGGAAAATTTCTCCAAATTCTTCTTCCTATAAAACCTTGAATTGTCACGTATATTTTTATTTTTATATTTCTATGACCATCAGTTTCTGGCATATAATAAAATATCAATAAAATTATGGATAAAAACAACTAAGCAATTAAGAAAGGAATGAAAGAATCTGTCACAAGTATTAAATACCTCTAGTCCTTGATGTGGAGATATATATAAATTTGGTAATGTGGCCAACACAAAACTATTTGCAAATAAAAAGCATTTCATTCCACATAGTCTTGTCTATAAGAACTGCTCTGTAGAGGTTATACAGGAAAGTAATAAAGTTGTCCAAAATAAGTTGTCCAAAAATAAGTTGTCCAAAACTTTTAGGTATTCCATATATTTTCACAGCGCTTATTTTGACATTAATCCTATTATATGTTCTAGATGGGATATCTAGGGAAATTATGAATGAAATAATACTAAGATCCCAGTCTTTTTTCTGTTGCAAGATTCTGTGGTTGAGAAACACAATCTCTTTCCCCTAGATTAAAGTGAATTATCTCTGAGACAGTTTATGTCAGTCTTTTTTCAAAAAGATACCTGAAATCTTTTCCCAAATATGCTTAGTTCTCACTCCATAGATGACAGGTTTGAGGGCAGGTGGAACAACAACACAGAGATTGGCCAGGAGAATGTGAATGTATACGGGAACATTCCTGCCAAACCAGTGGGTGAAGAAGGAGAAAAAAGCTGGAGTGAAGAAGGCTAGAATAACACAGATATGGGAGCCACATGTATGAAGTGCTCTGAGTGTGGCATCCTGAGAAGGAAGGCAGAGGACAGCTTGAAGTAGTCTTACGAAGGAGATGACAATCAGAACAACATCAACAAACACCACTGATAGAAGAATTAATCCAAATATGTTTACCTTTATATTGGCACAGGCCAGCCAAGCAATTCCCATGTGCTCACAGTATGTGTAGGGGATTATATGGCCTCAAGACAAGAAACACCAGAGGGATAACCAAAATGAAATTGATGACAGACAGCACAACAAGGGTGAGACCAATCATCCTGTTCATGAGAATCAGGCTGTATCTCAGAGATTGCTTGGCAACATGGCAATCAAAGGCCATCGCCACCAACACAACAGTCTCCATGGCAGTGAATATATGAATAAAGAACATCTGGGTGACACAGCCCCCAAGGCTAATCTCCTTTAAATTAAACCAGAATACGCCCAACATTTTGGGGACAGCGGATGTGGACAGGCCCAGATCAATGGAGGCTAACATAGCCAAGAAGTAAAACATAGGCTGATGAAGATTGTGTTCATTCTTGATCACAAACAGGATAGTGATGTTCCCCACAAGGGCAATCAAATACACACAACAAAAAGGAAACCCAATCCAGATGTGAATCTCTTCAAGGCCTGGAACTCCCAGCAGGAGGAAATAGGAGGGGTGGAATTTGGTATTATGTGAGGGGGATATCCTCTCTCTGTTTTGGAATTGCAGAGAAAACAAATTATCAAATATTTAAAAAGTCAAACCATATCCAATAAAAGAATAAAATAAACTTGGAGTGGTGATCAACAGGAAATCATGAAGGAGATTTTATGCCAAATTTTAAAATATCGATTCATTCAGATATTAAAAAATATTAACAATTCTACTAAGTGTAGTGAACAAATCTGAGAAAATCTGATTTTATAATATTATTTTTTGGGAGATGAGACAAACAATATCCAAATAAAAAATAAGTGTGTATGGGTATACATGTATATGTACAGATGTCATGTATGTGCATATTCATATATATACCAGAGAATTTAAAGTGACTTAAAGAAACACAAAGCATGATGATTGGATACTAATGAAGTCGGTGTCTATTTAAATTTATCAAGAGGGACGTTCCCTCTAAGAAAGTGATATTAAGCAGATAAATGAATACAATATGGGGATGATTTAGTGTAAAGTTAATAATGAATATTAAATGTTTTTTATTTGAGTATAGTTGACACACAATGTTACGTTAGTTTTAAGTGTCCAGTTTCTATATTCACCACAAGTGCAGCTACCACCTGTCCCATTTCATCACTATTATAATATCATTAACTATATTCTCTGTTCTGTGCTTTTTATTCCTGTGACTTATTCATTCCATAACTTGAAGCCCGTATCTCCCACTTCCCTTCACCTATTTTGCTCATCCCGCCCCCCCCATTCCTCTCCCCTCTGGCAACTATCAACATTAAAATAAGTTTGAGACATGGGATGACACTTGGATTTGAATCTGAAAAGGAGCCCTGTAGGCCATGAACTGGAAGTGGTAATTGCTCTTCTCTGATAAGGCTGTGAAATAGGGCTTTAGGAAAGCTGGTGACTCTCTCTGGGGCATCAGGTAGTCGGTTTGTGAGGAGTAAAGATTTTATTTATTCATTTGACAGAGACAGAGACAGCGAGAGCAGGAACACAAGCACGGGGAGTGAGAGAGGGAGAAACAGGCTTCCTGCCGAGCAGGGAGCCTGATGTGGGACTCGATCCCAGGACCCTGGGATCATGACCTAAGCCCAAGGCAGATGCTTAACGACTGAGCCACCCAGGCGCCCCGTGAGAAGTAAAGAAGGAAATTGAACTCCTCCTCCTCTTTTTCTATGATCTATGGTGGTGTAGTAAGTTGGAGCAAGGTGCTTCTGCTTGGGAGGTTCCGCAAACCCCTCAGCTCAGTGAGACTCGGGTAAGATGGACAGATGAAGGAAGTACTTGTTTCTGAGGGCTTTCTCAAGTTTTCTATAGAAATTTCTATCAAAATTTACTCTAAAAATTCTGGATAACAAAAACAAAAGAATGTACCTTATTTTAAAATATGCTGTTTGATCTATACTTAAATACTAAGAGACTTTACCCCTACCAAAAATATTTAAATAATACCTACCTTGTGCTCTTCTGTTCCTCACAGCTTCACCCCTATTTCAGGGGTTTCTTGTTTCAACTATTTCTCAGACCTCCTATCCCTCATTTCCAGTGCCTGGCTCCCAGAACCCAGCCTTGAGCAGCACCACCTGGCATAGGCAGGACCATGACTCTTTTAGGATCAGACTACAGCAGTATCTCCCCTTCAGACTTCACTGTATTTGTCATGCCTACAGAGGAAAGTATATACTTGTGCTGCAACAGATACCCAAACCCTAGCCCATCTCCCATAGAACCCTTAATCCCTAGGGTCTGGAAGCCTCCTCTTCCCGAAAAAAGATAGTTAATTCTCCTGTGACTCTACTTCTGAACTATGGGATCCATGGTTGCCACCTTGCATTATTAGTTTCTATTCTGGCCATCCCCACAGATTCTATCCCCCAGCTTTACCTTTGCCCTAACAGCATTAAACTTTTAGGAGTTGTTGATTTTGATTTACAATAATAGAAGCAAGGTAAAATAATTTGAAATGTATAACATAGGCTGGAGAAATAACAAGTATAAAAATAATACTAATGCCATGACCTGTAAAAGTGGTACTGAATAGCAGTGAGGAGGAGGGCTCTAAGGCCTTCTGAGCTATCCTTCTCTAGTTTAAATTAGGGGGAATGGCTAGACAGTGCACATGCCAAATCTTTTGGAATTGTGTAATTGTGTAATTAGTGGAATTTCACAGAGATTGGAACAGTAGCTGGTTTTTAGGTCCTCCATTACATATTGCATTCTGGATTCATACAAGAGATTCAGTATCTCCTCCCCTAGGATCCAACATCATTGTGACCTGGAAGCAGCAGCCCTATTCTACCAAGTCAGAATTCAGAGCTCAGACATTCCCTCTCATGCTGTCTAAGCTTTATGTCCTTTCTGTTCAGATCAACATATATTAGGTTTGCAGGGTCTAGGCTACACCACAAGTGAATAGGTTTACCCAAGCAGGACAGCAGAATAATTGGTGTGAAGAGGCTAGGAATCCCCCATATATGAGTGGATACAGCTTAGTGAATGCAATATGGAAATCTGAGAAATCCATGAGAAGTGGGAGAATTAGACAAGGGAAGGAATGGCAGATAACTAAATAATTTACTGCCATATGTGATGTGGTAACTTGCTAGCATGATCCACCTCTCAACATTCTTCCAGTATTGACCTATCTGTAGGCAATTTTCATGGTATTCTGTGGGAGACCAACTGCCTATCCAAATGGCCAGCTTGCAGGGAATCTGAAAGATTAACTCTTGTCAGTCTAACCACTTATTCCAAGGAATGGCTTCTATTTGTCCTACCCAATGCCATCAAAAACTCAGGCCATTTAAATCCATAATACTGAGGGTGTCCTCACTGACATCATTGAAGATAACACTGGTGGATATCATGAATGTATTCGTGAACACCACCAACGGGTAGTTTATAAGGAATGACTTTATTCAGGGTGTTTATGTCATGGTGCAAGTGGTTCATTTAATTCTTCATGGGAAGCAGGCACTGGGCACACACAATTTGTCTTTGTATCAGCCTTTCCAGTGGTCTCTTGCCCCAAGACCTGTGGAAGATATAAGGCATGATATAACAATTAGATAAGGTTTGGATATCTTTTTTTTTTTTTTAAAGATTTTGTTCATTTGACAGAGAGAGACACAGCGAGAGAGGGAACACAAGCAGGGAGAGTGGGAGGGGGAGAAGCAGGCTTCCCGCGGATCAGGGAGCCTGATGTGGGGCTCGATCCCAGGACCCTGGGATCATGACCTGAGCTGAAGTCAGATGCCTAACAACTGAGCCACCCAGGCGCCCCAAGGTTTGGATATCTTAATGGTAGTGAGTTATCTTTGCAGTGCTTAAACTGGTATTCAGTAGTCTATATTTGGAAGTCAGTATCTCTGATTTGTCATTCAAGTCATCAGATAACTCTAGGGTCCTAGGAGGATCTTTGGCACGTAATTCCCCCAGGGTCACATCTGTGGAATAACTGGTTGACAATTCTAATCTCTTAGGGATGTAGTACAGTTTTATAATTCTCATTGCCCTCATCTTTCAGATGGTTCACATTCCTCATTAATATCTTCTGTGTGCCATGAGCTAAGTGATCAGTGAGTGCATGAGCTCCAAACCCTTTGACAATCATAGAGAGAACCTCTACAATCCAGTGTATTTGCCATAAAACAGAGTTGGGAACACAATAAATCTCATCACATGTGTTCCCTGAATCAGGGAAGCTCACCTGTTAATTCAATGAACTTACTTGGTTCCCCTTGCAATTATCAACTACATGATGGGAGGAAGAAGATGGGAAATCACAGCACCATATGTGTACCATACACAGTAAGCCTCACTTCTTTTCCCATTAAATGAGGACAAGTAGCAGCCTAGCAATGGTGTGCTATCTGAGTGACCCTCTCAGTCTCAGGATGAGACTCAGGGAATTCACTTGCTTGGTTCACCTTGCTATGACATAGAGATACAGGGAAATTTCATCAGGAGACTCTTCAATGCATTTGGATTTTGAAATTGTATTTTCTTCTATACAAGGAAGCATATCTCCTTCTCCCACATCAAGATGCTAGTTTAACCTGTCCCTCAATAAATCTATGACATCTTGGTTAGGTCCCATAAGAGCCATTAAAAAAATAATAAAACTGTTTTGGAATGCTGTCTCTGTTAATGAGAGATTCACCACCGCAAAATTGCACGTATTGGAAAACAGGTCACCATAAATATTTGATGACCATCCTCCCCATTCCATTCCTTAACTTTACTGTTACTGCCACTTCAAACAAACTGTTCCTACCTCTAAAGTGGCTCTCTAATCTCCATTCACTTGGCTAATTTCCAGAAGGCCCACAGTTGACTGACCAGGTGCATAGCTCACTGAACTAATTGTGCCAGACAGCACAATGACCAGGGCTTTAGGAAAAAAAAAATTTTTGTAAGACACTTATGGAGAAAGGAGTAGTAGCACAAGTGTGAATTTTTCCTTGTTAATGTATTCTAGAGTGGTATGAAATGCTTTGTGGGGCCAGAAGTCAGACTCTAGGAAAAGAACCCTGACCCTTGGGCAATGGGACCTTAAATTATACTAAATCACCAGTCCCTTGCCTGTGATAGCAGAGACTGGGATCCAAGATAATAAGATGGACTAGACAAGATGTCCATCGACAGATGAATGGATAAAGAAGATGTGGTATATATATATATATATATATATATATATATATACAATGGAATATTATACAGCCATCAAAAGGAATGAGATCTTGCCATTTGCAATGACATGGATGGAACTGGAGGGTGTTATGCTGAGTGAAATAAGTCAGTCAGAGAAAGACATGTATCATATGACCTCAGTGATATGAGGAATTCTTAATCTCAGGAAACAAACTGAGGGTTGCTGGAGTGGGGGTGGGGTGGGAGGCATGGGGTGGCTGGGTGATAGACATTGGGGAGAGTATGTGCTATGGTGAGCGCTGTGAATTGTGCAAGACTGTTGAATCACAGATCTGTACCTCTGAAACAAATATTGCAATATATGTTAAGAAAAAAAAAGAAGAAGATAGCAGGAGGGGAAGAATGAAGGGGGGGTAACTGGAGGGGGAGATGAACCATGAGAAACGATGGACTCTGAAAAACAAACTGAGGGTTCTAGAGGGGAGGGGGGTGGGGGGATGGGTTAGTCTGGTGATGGGTATTAAAGAGGGCACATTCTGCATGGAGCACTGTGTATTATGCACAAACAATGAGTCATGGAACACTACATCAAAAACTAATGATATAATGTATGGTTATTAACATAACAATAAAAAAATTTAAAGGAAAAAAAATAAGATGGGCTAGACAATTGGCTTCTAACTTTATTCCACCAGCTCACATTCATTATTTGGGGGAATAATAACTAGAGTGATTAGGGCCTGTGGTCCAAATAATGCTGATTCAGCAGTATGTCATGTGAGAGACTTGACCAGTCACCCCTTTCTGCCACTCAGCATCAGGGGATGAGAATCAACACTTCTCTGGCATCATCCAAAGGCTTGCCTCCAAGCCTTGTTGTTGATGATAACATGGCTGACAAGTGCCCTGATCTGCCTTTTGGGATACTACCAATATCAACAAGCTTGAGCACTTAACAGTGACTGTTTTGCTTGGCAATGTGTTAGAGGCCAACTATATTTCTGGAATGCATGCATGGAGCTAATCCTTCAATTAAACCTTACTTTAAACTCTATTTGATTATAGATCTCAAACTTCCTTAATATCCCACTTTATCTTTATTATCTATGATGCAGACAAAGTCTCCTAAAACTTCTTTTGATTTCAGTCTATTTGACTTTCCAGCTGGTGAATGAACTCCCATTTTATAGACAGGCAGTTATCCATCCATACATCCAGGCATCCATGCATGCATACATCCATCCTTCCAACAAATATTTATTTAGCATCTGATATGTTCTAAGAATTGTTCTAGTAAATAAACAAACAAAAAATCATGCTATTAGATTGATTTTCTTTCTCTTTAATGAGTTCTGTACTTGGTGCTAAAATCTCTGTTCAAAAACTTTTTATTTTTCTGTTTATTTGACAAGAAGTTAACCTCTTTAACATTAATGACTTCATATTTTATCATTTTTACTGTAAAGATGATAAATAATGTACATGATTATCAATAGAGAATTACTTACATTTAATTATCATATATCAATATAATGTGATGCTATGTAGCTTTCAAAGGAAATGAAGAGACACACATAAATGTCTCTTGAAGGAATCACAAGAAACGTATTGGACATTACTTCTGGCAAGAGATCTGGAGAATAGAAGTCAGTGAGAGGAAATACACTTTATTAGCTCCCCTGTGAGAATTTTTTTTAATTAGTTTATGTTTTCTGTTTTTAACCTTTTAATTGAAGTATGACTGACATAAAAAAGCTATACATATTTAATGTATATGACAATGAGTTTGGGAATAAATATACACCCGTGAGACCATCACCAGAATCAATGACATAAACATATCCATCACTTCTGGGGTGCCTGGGTTGCTCAGTAATTTGAGCACCTGACTCTTGATTTTGGCTCAGGTCATGATCTCAGGGTTGTGAGATCAAGCCCTGCATCAGGCTCAACGCTGAGTGTGGAGCCTGCCTAAGATTCTCTCTCTCTCTTTCTCCCTCTGCCCCTGCCCCTGTTCATGCTCTCTCTTAAAAAACAAAAACAAAAACAAAAACAAAAATCACTTCCATAAGTTTCCTCCTGCTTTCTTTACTTAGTATTTACGTTTTCCTCAATTAGAACACTTAATGTGAGATTTACTGTACCCTCTTAGCAAATGTTTAAGTATACAATGCAGTATTGTTAACAATACGCTCTTCAGTGGTTTTCAAAAATAATAAAAATATAGTTCAATTACCCCAGAATTTAGCAGCTTAAAACAATAAGCATTTCTTATCTCACACATTTTCTGCATATACAGATGAAAAATAAGCAAGGTAAACATGTTCCACACCTTCAGTCATTAGGTAAATTTAACTTAAAAACAATAGGATACCAATAGACTCTTGCTAAAATGACTAAAATTTAAAAGACTGACCATACTAAATGTTTGTGAAGATGTGGAACAAGTAGAACTTTTATGCACTGCTGGTGAGAATGTAAAATACAACTATTCTGGAAATCACTTTGTCAGTTTCTTAGGAAAGCTTTATGTATATCTGCTATTCCATTCCTAGGCTTTTACCCAAGAGAAATGAAAGTATATGCTTGGTCAAAGACTTGTACATGAATGCCCATATCAGCTTCATTTGTAATATACAAAAACTGCAAACAAAGGAAATGTCCAACAACAGATAATTGGATAAATAAATTTTGGTATATCCACAAAATGGAATACTGCTCAGCAAGAAAAATGTATGTGTGATTAACACAAGAATTTGATGAAACTCAAAGTGGTCATGGAAGCAGCCAGGCTAAAAAGATTACATTTGGTAATATTTCATTTATATAAAATTCCAGAATTTTATAGAGCTAATGTATAGTGACAGAAGCATGTCAGTGCTGTTAGGTTTAGGCAATCGTTGGATCACAAAGATGTAAAAGGAAATTTTAAAGGTGATGAATATGTTAATTAACTTCATTGTAATCTAGGTAATGATGGTTTCATGTGTGTATACATATGTAGCAATGCCCATTTTTATCAGTGTTTGTACTGTAATTTTCTAAGAAGGTAGGTGCTCAAAATATGTTTGTGGTATGTATGAATAAACAAATGAATGGGCAGCATTGAATGTTTATTCCTTGATGGAAAATACATTTTCTAGCTTAACAAAAATCTATGAAGTTCTAGGGACAGTGCTTTTACTAGAAATTATCAGTGTTTTTGAATAACTTGTATGGTCCCTTTTTTCAATTTTATCTACTAGCTGGGAAATTCTTCAGGGACAAAACTGTCTTACGTATTACTCTCAAATGGCACTGAATTCAGTACCATGCAAATAACACAAAGGCATTAGCAATAGTTTTATTGGATTTAATTAAATTGGTTTGTGGGTGCTTTTTAAAGAAAAGTTTTCAAGTTGATATACAAGGTGTTAGAAAAGTATAGGAATGATCCATTAAGAAGAAGATTGGTTGGGTGCCTGGGTGGCTCAGTCGGTTGTGCCTGCTTTCAGCTCAGGTCATGATCCCAGGGTCCTGGGATCGAGCCCCACATTGGGCTCCCTGCTCAGCAAGGAGCCTGCTTCTCCTTTTCCTTCTCCTCCCCCCACCCCACAGTGCTCTCTCTCTCTCTCAGCAAATAAATAAAATCTCTAAATTAGTTAAAAAAAGAAGAAGATTGGTTAAGTCACTGTCAAATCACATATCCACTGTCGTATGATACGGATACCCTCTTCATCTATGAAAACATTTTCCTCTCATTATGTCGGGGTTTACTTTTATCTCTTTCTTCAGTGGTCTTTTGCTAAGGAAAACTTTGAGCATCGCTTCTTGTATTTGTTTAGTCTTTATCCCATAGACAATAGGATTCAGGGTGGGTGGCAGAAGCAGGTATAGGTTAGCCGCAAAAATGTGAAAGCTGTGGGGGATTGTATGACCCCCCAAATGGTGGGTAAAAAAAGTGAAGAAGACTGGGACATAGGTGATGACTGTAGCACAGATTTGAACAGTTTAGGTGCTGAAGGCCTTTTAACGAGCCTCTGCGGAGAGAGGCTGACCACTGCCCAGAGAATCATGGTGTAGGAAACTGTGATGCACAGGATTTCAAAGCCCGCAGTCAGAAGGGCAACCATCAGACCGCAGATGGCATTGACCTTGATATTGCCACAGGACAACTTGGCCACAGTCATATGGTCACAGTTGGTGTGGGAAATTGTATTACCCTTGCACTAGGGCAGATGTTTAGTGACTAAAAAGGAATGATAGGTATCACACCTGGAAGGAAGGTGAGAAATCCAGCCTTGGCAATGATAGAATTGGTGAGAATAGTGGCATAGTGTAGATATAACAGATGACCACATAGCAGTCCAGGGTCATTTTCATGAGCACCCT